CAATGAATATAGCAACGCCAAGTCCTCATCATAGTTAAATGATCATCCAATGACGTATCTTCGGACATCCTCCTCCGCATTGTAGTTTGAATTATACAAGAGTTAAATGGTTTTGATTTCTCTCAATTGTCCTATCAAAATGTTTTTTTGAAATATTGTACCTCATTATTGGATAAGCTGATTTTTCATTCTAGAAAAATGCCATGACTTCGTGTTACTTGACTAATTTATTTTTTAAGTTATGGAGTTGTTACCTTACCATTTCGGATGCACCTAATGAAAAATTCCCTCTTTTGCATATCTTCTTCAATGTAAGTGTATCTTCTTCCACTTTTAATGCCTATTTTCAATTTTTTCTTTATCCTGGACCTTTTGAAATTTTATGACCTTGCTTATTCATGATTTGTAAGTTTTCTTTAAATACCCAGTTCAAGGATTTGAATTTTTTATTTTTTTGGGTGGTTTTATGATTTTTTCTTCAAGATCCGTTTTCGTATTTCTCCAATTTTAAGTTCTTGCATTCGTCATTACCAGGTTTTATGTTGTTTCTAACACCCCAAACTGGAATACCCACATCTAGTATAAGCCTTTGCCTAATCGAACTCTTGGGATGTGGACGAGTAAGATACTGTATACTGTGATTAAACAAGAATAAATACATAAACCACGGGGACAAAATATAGAAAAAAATATAGAATTTGAGGATTGGGGCAAATATACAGGAAGGCATGGAAAAATCAAAAAGCATAAATGGAATGTGCATTTAATGTACATTTAATTTAAGTGGCCAACAAACAAACCTTGCATTTTTATTTTTATTTTCTATTTTCTCTGTTAATAGAGGATGTATGTTACACCTGTACCCTCATCCCGCAAGTATGCTTTCTTCTCTCTAAATTGTTGCTAGTGTATTCACTTGCATATTATCCACATTTGCTGATATATCGCATAAATCGTAGTACCATGTATATGTAACAAAAGAGTGTGGAGATTTCTATATAGAGTCATTTGAGGAGATAGCAAGGCCTTGGGTTGTTTGTACTTGTGTTGTTATTTCCTAGTATGCTCAGAAAAGAGGAGGAAGTTTTTGCTCGAAATATGGGACCTGGGAATGCATGATGATTCTTCTTATTTTTTTTTTAATTAAAGCATTATTGAATATAGGTTTTGTAAAATTATCTTATGAATGCACAAAGACAAATGTGCAGTACAATTGTAAATGTTTATTTTTTATTTGATTTTGACCCGTGAAGTTAAAGAGAAAAATGACGTTAATTACATTGGCACGCACGTTGATGTTCAACATAACACATAATTGAATATGTGACGTTTTAAGTTTTATCTTTGACACCTTTATTTTTATTGTAATGCACGCTATTTAATATTTGTTACTTAATGTTACCTTCTATTTTTCCATATTCATTGATCACAATCTGTTTAGTTGCATTGAGCTCTCTTGATGTTGAGCTAATCACATAGTATTGCTACCATCTGAAATTACTATGAATGCAAGTTTCTGGTACAATGTTGAATTTTTTACATTTGATGTTTATGAGTGACATAGTAGGTCAGTCATGTTCGTGCAATGCACAAAGACAAATGTGCAGTACAATTGTAAATGTTTATTTTTTTATTTGATTTTGACCCGTGAAGTTAAAGAGAAAAATGATGTTTTTAATTACATTGGCACACATGCCGCTGTTCAACATAACACGTAATTGAATATGTGACGTTTTAAGTTTTATCTTTGACATCTTTATTTTTATTGTAATGCATGTTACTTAATATTTGTTACATAATGTTACCTTCTGTTTTTCCATATTCATTGATCACAATTTGTTTAGTTGTGTTGAGCTGTCTTGATGTTGAGCTAATCTCATAGTATTGCTACTATCGGAAATTATTATGCATGCACGTTTTATGGTACACTATTGAATTTTTTACATTTGATATTTATAGGTGACATAGTAAGTCAGTCATATTCATATATCACAATAACATAGATAGCTTGTTTGTCACAATCTATTACATTGGAGATTGCGCATCACGTTCTATAACTTTTAAAAATTTTATATTAATTCTAAAACATTCTTTGATTCAACTTTCACACCATTTGTTTTATATATAGTATTGCATGAATACATTTCTGTAGCACATGATGTCATAGATGTCATATATCTTATCGAACAAGTGTCATCTTTAATATGTAATCTTCAGTATGTTGTAACATGATATTAAAGTCAAAGATGCTTAGACATAACATGCAATGTATTACGACAATTTATGTAAGACTTTGCACTTAATTTGAAAAGGCATGCAATTTCACGCTCACTGCATATCATACTCACATGGTGTCATACAACATAGTATCAAATTTGAAAATTAAAAATACGACGTCGAATCAGAGTGTGATATACCTTAAATGAGATAGCTACATTAAAAATCGAATGAGATAGAACAGTGAAAAAGTATCATAAAACTCCAAGTCAAGTTGTTCAAATGGAGCCAAAAGTTCAAATGCATGTATCCCCATGTATAGTAATAGAAAATAAATAAATAAATTCACAACAATATATCATGAACATATTATGTGATTGTTGTGGGATTTTTAACTAAATTCATGTCCGCTCATGTTATCAAATCTTCAAATTAAGAATATAGAATTTACTAATATAAATAGCCCAAAAAAAGATTTAGCTACCATTTGGCTTCCATTATTTGGTATTATAATTTTTGGAATGATATTTTTTTGCGGAATGATGGTTGAAAAAGATGGAAAAGCTTTCGATTTAAGTGTAATATTATTTTATTGAAGAATGTATAATTGAAAAGAAGAGAGAGAATAATGTAATATAATTTTAATGGGGCCAAGTGGGAGCTTAACAATATTTTTGCACGAAGTTTCAAAAAAAAAAAAAAATGAATGTTTTCATTTTACGTAAAGATTCAAATCCGAAAAACGATTTTGAATTGTTTGCTGGTTGAAATTGTTTTGAATTCATTGGAATGGTGATTTATCGGTTGTTCATTTGTGTTCAATTACTTAAAATAGATTACGTGTTGAATATTAGTAATTTTACAAATTTGTTTTGGTAAAATATTTTGCAATTTTACAATTGTGGGTTAGCCGTTAGTTCCTGGCTGTTGATGTATTTAGTTACATAAAAATCAGAGAAATTATGGTAGTAAATAAAATTGGTTTATTTTTGTATAATTTTCAGTATTTATAGTATATAAATTATCATGTAGTATTTTATGAATTGTCTTCTATCCCCCTCGGTTATATATGATTTTTGTGGAAATTATATGTAACCAGAATTTTAAACTTCCCATTTCAAAATTCAGATTTATAATTAAAATTTTAATAATTATATTACAAATTTAAATATACATATTCATTCTACCCAACCACACACCAAAACCCTAATTATTTCATCATCTCCATTTTCTTCCCTCTCTATCTATCACACCTTCTCTCTAGCCATCCCTCATCGCCGTCGCCACCACTATTGTTGTCACCACCCTTCGCGCAACTCAAAATGGAACCTTTACGGTGTATTGTCGTTGCTCTCCCTCCTTCCCTTTTCCATTTTTTATTTGTTGCGACGCAGCCCTACACCAGCGTCACGTGGAGCAGTATGTAATCGTTCCTCAGCCGCTTCGATATGGTTTTTCTTGTGGTGATTTTGCAGCGTCGTACGATGGTTTTTGTAGTGATTTTTCGACATGTTTTGCTACGTTTTTGAGGTGTTGATGGTGCAGACGATGATAGTGTGATGTAGTGACAGCGACGACAAGTTTATGGATTTTTTTGGTGGGGTGGTGGTTGGGTGTGGTGTAAGAGGAGATGGTGGTGGTACAGTGTGCGATGATGGTATGTTGTGAGTGTGGTGGTAGATCGCGCCTTTAGTGGCCCAAATAGCAGTTGCAATAACGTAGATCACAGTGGTGGTGATGATTTTTATTTATTTTTTATTTTTTATTTTTGCTGTTGGATGGGTGTTGGTGGCAGTGGTGGTGGTAATATTGACGGTTTGGTGTTGCAGTGGTGATGGTTATGGTTTTGAGACGATGATTTTGTCGTTGGTAGGTGGTGATTGTGTTTCTGGTGACAAAGGTTTTAGCTGTTAGCAGTGATGAGGTGGTGGTTACAAGTGTTGGCGGTGGTCGTAAATGATTTAGTTGATTGTGGCCAATAAATTGGCTGGTGTGTAACCAATAAACAATATGTAACCAATGAAATAGATAAATTGTGATCAATAAATATTGTGCGATCTAAAAATTTGTTAATTTGTGACCAATAATTTAATAAATAGCGACCTAAATATAATTTGTGGTTAATTAATTGGATGTTTTGTGACTATGAAATAAGTCGTGACTTATAAAATTTGTGATTTATTATCAATATTTAATATATGACTATTAATTTGATAAATTTGTGATCGTGAAATAATTTGTGAATTATAAAAATTTTAATTGTGACTGGGAATTTATTTGCAATCAATTAATTTGATAATTTGTGATCAGATTGTATAAAATTATAACTTTATATTTAATTTATAAAATATATATTTAATTAATTATTTCACAATATAAACTATCTAATATTTAAAATTTTAGACATTTTATCTTCATTTTGAAATGAGTTATACTTACTTATTTATTCATTTTTTCCCATCATTTTTTCCCTAAAAAAATTGGAAGGAACTTAATGAGGAAGGAGGGGACCGACGAATGAGATGAATTTGGGCCAAAGCAATTTGGGTGGGCTTACCGTTTATGGGCTGGACATATTAAATAAATGGGCTAGATACTTTTTCCGTTTAGTTCAAAAATCTAAATAGAGGCGAAGCTAAAATGATGTCCATGTCCGCTAAAGTCGCAGAAACTATCAAACTGTAGTCCAAACTGAACGAAAGATAAAAGGAGAGTATCTATCTCATAGACCTCGCCATTTTTATCCCTGTTACACGTATGGACACACCCACTCAGAGCAGACAATGAACTTCACCTTCCCGCGGTTCATACTCCAGACTTCAACAACCTTAAGAAACCATGGTTATATACTTTTTTCTCCCCCCCACAGAAAAAATTATTCTGCAATTACACTCTCCTCATCTACAAAGGTAAACACTTCTTCCATATCCAAACACAAAGAAATAGTAAACAATTGGGTTCTGAATTTTTGTTGAATTCTTTGAGTAGTCAGGTGAAGAAACACTATTGGTAGTTGGTGGTGGAGCTGCTGGAACGTATGGTGCCATTAGGGCTAAAACTGTTGCTCCTCATCTTAAAGTTATTGTCATTGAGAAAGGGAAGCCATTATCAAAGGTTGTTTTTATTAAGAACGTGTTTTCAGTTTATATTTATGAAATTTCAATGTTGGTGCATTTCATTCGAAGAAATTGTCGTGTTTCGACAGGTTAAGATTTCCGGAGGTGGACGATGCAATGTGACAAATGGGCATTGTGCTGACAATATGGTGAGAATTCTATATATGAATAGATATAATTAATCCAATGGCATATTTTACTAGATATTTCGAACCTGTTCAAATTTAGTAAGTTGATGGCAAAGTTCATAGTCAATAAAAACTGTCTTATATGACCTTTGAGAACTTCATTAAGGAATCTGATTGTAATGGTTTTTGTGTGTGTGTGTGAGACATTTTCTTTGTTTTTCCTTGAATAAATTGAATATCGTTTTAGTATATTACTAATCTTGGGAAATGGGTACTAATTTATTTATTTATTTTTTCCAATTCTGGTTTGCATACTAGGATTGGTCAATTTTGATATGTCGAATGGAAAAGGTATTCCAAGTTCAGCAAACTAATATTTTGTGCCTTTATGTAATCCTCTGTTAAGCTGCTTAATTGGACCTTCTAGCAATAGCATTTGTGGAATCGAAATCCTAATTTGTACTTAGCCTATGTGTGGCCAATTTTCTTAACTATTGCCTATTATTAGAGAACTTCTTTCATTTGCATAGAAGTGATTTTTGTAATACATAACCAGTATATATCCTTTTTAAAATGCTAATAGGCAATAGCATTATTAGACATAGATTTTGGCAGGAAACTACCCAAGAGGTAAGAAAGAACTGCAAGGATCATTTTTCAATATGCACAGCCCAATGGATACTATGTCATGGTTTACCGATCGTGGTGTTGAACTGAAGGTAATCTTGAAAACTTAATACTGTATGTTTTCTTACTTTCTCACAACTCAATGTTATATATCAGTTACGTTTAACCATTTACTTCAGACTGAAGATGATGGAAGAGTATTTCCTGTCAGTAACAGTTCATCTACGGTAATAGATTGCCTCATGTCTGAAGCAAAGAAGAGAGGGGGTAGGTGTTGCGACAACTTCTCATAATTTCTTGTGGAGATCTCTTTATGTTATAATTTAAGAATTTATTCATTGTCACACTAGAACACACGTGTTGACTACCAGAATATTCTTGCTACATCACTCAAAATGAGGATAAGATTACAATTTAAAGAGGAAGAAATATAGTGGGGAAAGAATGTAGGTCTACATTATTCCTTTCGATTCTACTTCTGAAACAACCAGTCTCGATGATTCCAATGGAGCTGATTCTCATTTACCTGCCTCCTTCACCAAATCCCACTGACCATTCTCTTTCATGGAGCTAACCACCACCGATGAAGGAAGATGTTCTCTCTCTCAGAACAATGCAATGCAGCCAAGTCCTTGAGGTCAAAAACCATTGCCGAATAACTCTACTAAAACTCCCAAATACCAAACGCTGAATACAAGATCCAAAACTCGATTAAATTACTACAGGAGCTTTGATCTGGATATATAATGCAAATAAGATATTTTCCAATTTTTTTATTTGCTTATATAAATTTAATTTTTTTTCTTTATCAAGTTCTCATCTTTGCTTGAAAGAAATTTGATTAAATAAATAAGATAAGATTACCTCATGGGATGCTAACATAGGAGATTATGTTTTACACACTGACATACGTGGAGAAAGCAGAGTAGATAAAGATTTATAAAACGATATTATATGCCCGTGAAATGGCTTGTCATAAAAAAGTGTACTAGGAGATGGTGAAACAGAACTTCGCAAGTGTGGAAAATCGGAAGGTCACATAACTACCAGACTACTGCTAGGGGGGTCATTTTCTGTTCTGCAGCTTAGAATAAATAATTCATTTGTATGAAGCTACCTTGTATGTTTATATTTCTGCGTGGTCTGCAAAGCTTGTGTCTTTTATCACTTGTAATTGGTGCTAACTCTGAGTTTCTCAATCAGTTTTGCTGCAGACTGGCAAAACTGTTACAAGTGCATCGATAGCTGGTGGGAAATTCTTGGTCAAAATTGAAAAACGCACTGTTGATTATATGGAATATGTTGAAGCTGATTACCTATTGATTGCTAGTGGGAGTAGCCAGCAGGTTGTTTCCAGCTGTTGGTTCAGGATCATAGTTGATTGCATCTTTGTGCATACTAATTTTCTTCTTGAGTCATTATTTCCGTAACAGGGTTATCATCTTGCTACTCAACTTGGCCATTCTATAGTGACACCTGTTCCCAGTTTATTCACTTTCAAGATTGACGATTTACAGTTAGCAGAATTGTCTGGGGTAATAGTTCTATGACTATTTTACGATATCTTCTTTGATTAGTTTTTATAGTTGGAAATATCTGGCGGATCATAGGCATATTGAAGTATTAGGCTACCGACCCTTGTAGTATGTTATTGTTTTTACTTTGATACTCTAATTGGATATTTTTCTATCATATGCCTAGGTTTCTTTTCCTAAAGTGAGAGCAAAATTGAAGCTAGAAAATGTTCAAAAGAACATACCCGAGCTGACTCAGGCAAGACCTCTGATTGGCAACCTTTAGATTTTGATCTTGTGTGGAAGGTAATCATGATTTTGGAACTATAGGTTGGGCCAATGTTAGTAACACATTGGGGATTTAGTGGGCCCGTGATTCTTCGGTTATCTGCTTGGGGAGCTCGTCATCTCTCAGATTCATATTACAAAGGTCAGAAACAATTTATTACTCTTCTTCTTCCTTTTCTTCTATATCCTTATTATGTCTCTCAGATTTAACACCATCTACATCCAGGGACACTTCTCGTGGATTTCGTTCCCGATCTGCACATAGAATATGTGAAGAAAGTTCTTATCCAGCATAAAAATCAATTTGTGGTAAATATATTTTGAATCTAGTCTCCAATAGAGCCTTTACTATTTCTTTACTCCGTATCTTCGTTTAGGCCTTTTTTCCATGTCAGGTGCAGTGTAATATGTTATCTAGTAAAGAAAAAGGGAAGAACAAAAAACAAAGAAGCAAACCAGCCAAGTAATGCAATGCCACAAAATTATGAATTTATTATAAGTTAGATTCAATTTAAGGAATTAACCAGCACACAAAGTATAGATAATTGAACTTTAAATTATTAAATCCAGCTGTTATTTTAAATTCTCTTTAGCAAGTAAAATCATGATCCTTATGTTTTTACTTCAAGGACTCTTGCACTCCAGCAGCTGTCACATGCTGTTATCTGATACTTTTCAGTTGGCCATTGCAGAAGCAAAAAATTATCAATTCGTTTCCTTCAGAATTCAGCCTCGTGAAGAGATTTTGGAGATATATAATAGGACGTGAGGTTGAATGGTCATTCCACTGAAAAATGATATGTTGGATTATTTTGGTGGAACTTTTTTTTCTCTTTTCTGATGTCCATTTTGCTTCACAGGATATAGGAGATCTTTTGTGGGCTTCCGTTTCCAACAATGTATTAATATCAATTGCTTTTCAGCTAAAGAATTGTTCTTTCATCGTGAAAGGGAAGGTATGTTTCTTTAGGGCACCTTTGCCAACTTTGTACATACCTTTTCCATATGGAAGTAATAAAAAATTGCACTATACCAAATGAAGGGACAATTCAAGGATGAATTTGTCACTGCAGGCGGCGTTCCATTGTCCGAGGTGTCTCTCTTTTCCTTCCTCACGCTCCCCTTATGTATCTATGCGAGCAATTATACCCTGCTTTTCTTATGTTATTGTAACGAGTTTTTGTGCTGCTCGTGCTTTCATGCAGATATCTCTGAACACAATGCAGAGCAGGATCCAGCCACATCTATTCTTTGCTGGGGAGGTTATATTACTTTGGATGCCTTTTGCATTTAAATATTTTATCTTGCACTAATGGGTTGGCATTGATTTCAAATTCTACAACACCGGCTGAAATACCTGTTAAACTGAAAATCTGTAGGTACTGAATATTGATGGTATAACTGGAGGCTTCAATTTCCAGGTAATAAAGTTCTTCGTTCTTGGGGGTGTTAAAAGAATTTTACTAATAATTTATACTGAAAGTAGAACCAAATAATATAAAACTTTTATAATTTTAAACAGATGAGCTATCCACTGCATCTTTTTTACTTTATGAGTTTAATTTAAAGATTTCAAAATTTTCAAGCTCTTTATTATTATGCCTCAATGTATCGTGGACATTGTAATAATTAGTATTGAAACTGTGTTCTCTACTGTTTCATTTATTGTATGGATACATTGTTCTGCAGAATGCTTGGTCGGGTGGATATATTGCAGGAACAACTATCGGCAACCTGGCAATGGCTGCTAATCTGGACGAAGCAGCATTATAGAAGCCGAGATTTTTACAAGTTCCTTTTGGAGCGTGTTTAAGAGAACGAGAAATCAGACGAGACCTGGTTTGAAATCTTGATCATGTTCTTCATTTTTCTTAGCTTTGATCTTCATTTAGTTTCTCTGTTCTCTCTAGAGTTTTTTTATCTACAAAAAATGTATGAAAATTAATAGAGTTCTGAAAAATCTATACTCCTACCCCCCCCCCCCTCCCCCCTCCTTTCCTTTTTTTAACTAATAATGCATTTTTGGAATAGTGGATTAATGAAAAATGTGTGGTTAAAAAATAAAAAAATTTTGANTGAAAAATGTGTCGTTAAAAAATAAAAAAAATTTGAATTTGCGTATAATATTATTTTATTGAATAATGTGTGATTGAAAAGAAAAGAGAAAAAAATATATTTTAAAAATAATGTGGATCAAACAAGGACTATAAGAAGTAGATGGTAAGTCAATCATCATCAAAAAAAATTTTCCCCCTAAATAGGTTCTTGTGGGCCTTTTCAACTTCTGTCAAAGTTTGATATGATGGATTGGATCCGCTTCTGTTGATTTTCCTTCTGTACTCTGTTAGAATTTGGGTAAGCTTAAAAAGTCGGCTTATAAATGTTATTATAATTTATGTTTTTTCGATTGGTTAAAGTTTTTTTTAAATTTAAATAAAGGTTGTTTATTTTAAGAGTAAAGTGAGAATTAGTTTTAAAAGTAATTTAGGGGTGTTCTCTATGTGTTTTGAGTGTCCATTTTGAGATTGTTGAAAATGTATTCTTTTTGACATTTTAAAAAATTGATTTGAAAACACCTAAAATGCGTTTTGAAAATTTTGGTTTGATTATAATTAAAAACACCCAAAACAACAAAAAACATGTTTACGAAAATAGGAAAGAGAACACGTTTTCACTGTTTTGAAAAATCAAAAATAGAAAAGGGCTTGAAAAATGGTAAAGAGAACATGCCTTTACTTTTTTACTTGAAAATGGAACAACCAACCTAAAAAATAGGACCAACTTGTAAATTTGTTTTGCGGTCATTAATCTACTTAAATTTGTTTCATTTTGATTACTCAACTTATATGTTTATTTTCATTTCACTGTTAATTCATGACTTGTGTCCCATGTGGCAACTACACTTTCCAACAAAGAAAATGTTAAATTTGTATTTTTTATCTATAAAAAACATAATTACTTGAAATTTACGGTCATTGATGAAATGTTTAACTTAAAAAAAATTTAAAAGTTAAATGATGAAATTAAAATAAATTAAAGTCGAATGGTTCATTTAGTAAATTTATAAATCATTTATAAAGAGGAATATAAAGATTAATAGTAGTAGTGAGTTCCTAGAGTATTGGTGAAATATGTAGTTGATTCTTATAAAAAGTTGGAAGTTAATTATGGACTTTGCATTTGTTTAATTCCAATTATTTTCGAAATACATTTTTTTATCTCTCATTTTCTATCACGCCTCTACACGAGGACTCTCACGTGGTCTCAACCCTCTTGCGTGGCAAACGGTTCGACGGTCCCACGCCTTGAACACTAACATGAGGCGGAGCTGGACTGACCTTTAAGTGCGGACGACCTGTTTCTTCCCGCTAAATGAAGCTGAGTTGACCTCATTACATGATGATCCCATGGGAAGAGCTGGTCCAGGACGAGGCGGTGAAGAGATTGTAAACGGATCTTGTAACGACAATACAACTCACTGTCGCTGTCGCTAGCCTATTTGGTCAAGTCCAAGGCCGCAAACTAGGTCTTATGGATACGAAAGTGATATTAGCATTTAAGGCTTTGATTGATTGATGTCTAGACAAGAAAGGTCAATCACTTGGATAAGGCTATGTGCATTGTTATCCAATGGCCTTCATTTGCCATGTCCAAGTATAAAAACTCACACTTAGTGTCATTCAAAGGTAATGCAAGTTTAGACTCTCAAAGTTATAATCTTGCTACCATATCTTTTATTTGTTTCTCCCCAAAGTCGACTTCCTTTTATTATATTGGAGGCTCACGTTTAAAGGTCGCCCACACTCATATAACAACTCTTCTAACTGACTTGATCGTCGGAGTGTGCGTAGCCAACTCTACCCCCTCCGGAGAAGCCCTCGTGTGATCAACAGTTTGTTCAAGTGTGCAGGAAATAAGCTTGCATGGACGGGATAGGACTTGGGATCTATTGGCCATATCAACAGTACATTTTTTAGGGAGATGCTATAACACAGGCTTCAGCTTCATCAAAGCTGCTCGCCCTTTGCAACAAGGGCATCGCCTCGTGTGATTAAGCCTTATCATAGGCTTCAGCTTCATCAAAGCGGTTCGTCCTTTGCAATAAGGGCATCGCCTCGTATTATTAAACCTTATCATAGGTTTCAGCTTCATCAAAGTGGCTCGCCTTTACGACAAAGATATCGTCTCATTCGATCTAGCCCCTTTCAAACTATGCCCTTCTTCAAACTCGAGCTGTTGTTGCAACCACATCCTTTTTTCTCCTTCAAAAGTCCATGTATTATATGAATAATCATACATGAACTTTAGGGGCTGTTGTTACGCTTCTCTACACGAGGACTTCCATGTGGCCTCAACCCTCCGCATGGCAAACAATTCGATGGTCACACTCCCTGTACACTAACATGAGTCGAAGTTGGACTGACCCTCAAGTGCGGACGACCCGTTTCCTCCCGTGAAATGAATCTGGTCAACCCCATTTAATAGGGATCCCATGGGAAGTGCAGGTCCAGGACGAGGCGGTGAAGAGATCATAAACGGATCTTGTAATTGACAAGACAACTCACTGCCACCGCCGCCAGACATGAACTTTAGGGACTGTTGTTACGCCTCTCTACACGAGGACTTCCATGTGGCCTCAACCCTCCTACATGGCAAACAATTCGATGGTCACACTCCTTGTACACTAACATGAGTCGAAGTTGGACCGACCCTCAAGTGCGGACGACCCGTTTCCTCCCGCGAAATGAAGCTGGTCAACCCCATTTAATGGGGACCCCATGGGAAGTGCACGTCCAGGACGAGGCGGTGAAGAGATCATAAACGGATCTTGTAACTGACAAGACAACTCACTGCCACCGCCGCCAGACTATTTGGTCAAGTCCAATGCCGCAAGCTAGGTGTTATGGATATGAAAATTGTATTAACATTTAAGGCTGTGATTGATTGATGTTGACACGACAAGAAATGTCAATCGCTTGGATGATGCCATGTGCATTGCCATCTCACGGCCTTCATTCGCCTAACTCAAGTATAAAAGCTCACACTTAGTACTATTCAAATGTAATGCAAGTTTAGACTCTCAAAGTTATAATCTTGCTACCATATCTTTTATTTGTTTCTCCCCAAAGCCAACCCCCTTTTATTATATTGGATGCTCATGTTTAAAGGTCCCCCACACTCATAAAACAACTATTCCAACTGATGTAACCATCGGAGTGCGCGCGGCCAACTCTACCCCATTCATCAACGATACATTTTTTTGGTCAACATTTTCAACTACACATTTTTCAATAAAATAATATCATACGCAAATTCAAATTTTTTTAAACTATACATTCTCCATCAAATCACTATTTTAAAATGTATTTTTTTTTTTTGGTCAAAAAAAAGAGCTCAAACATGCTTTTTGTATTAAATTTTAATTAAAACTTTAACGAGCCCATGTTTGGACTCCATTTTTATAAAATCTCATTTTTTTCAATACTCATTCTTAACTATACATTTTCTTATACAATAATTTTAAAAGCAATTTTTTTTTATTTTTTAACCACACATTTTCCAATTTTTTACTATTTCAAAATGTGTTTTCTTGAAAAAAAAAATGGAGCCCAAACAACGGCTGAATCAACGTGGACTAAATATACCATTTTTCAAATTTATGCACTTTTCTTGTCTCTGATTTGACTCACCTCTCTCTCTCTCTCTCTCTATATATATATAATCATTCTCTCTCTCTCTCTATATATATAATCATTCTCTCTCTCTCTCTCTCTCTATATATATATAATCATTACGCGGTAACTTTGGAGGTCGGTTTTCAACAAATGAAAGTTATACTTTTTTCTAGCAAACCAAAGTGGACCTTGTACTATTCTCTTAATAAGAATATTGTTTCATGTCAATCAAATTGTAAAAATTGACTAGTCGAAACGTATGGTTCAAAGTTCGATTCCTTCCAAATTCGTCAACTTCTTTGTTACTAAATGATTTACTCATTTATTTAATAAAAAGTAACACTAATTGCTAACTTTTAAAATAAAACACCATGTTGACTAAACAAGAATATCCTATGGTACAAAACTTGTTAACCGATATACTCTATCTAATGTTTTCATACATATATATCGACAGTTAGTAAACAACATTATAAAACTACACAAATATATCGAGCCCTATTTTATATAACTCAAATTTCACAAACGCACATTTCTTCAATAAAATAATTATACATAAAGTAGCATTTCATTTTATCTTTCCAAAAAAGAGCTTCATAGGTTTATAGGATAACTTTAGAATGATATTCATTTAGTTTAGAAATCAACTTTCAACTTATTTCTACACAATAGAATTAGATATAATGTCAAATTAACTAGAAAAAATCAAAGAATATGGGCTGCCAACTATGAATGACAAAATATGAATTGGGATAGGGATAGGGATAGGGATAGAGAACATGATCGTCGCTACTCCGTATATGCATCGATTCTTGTATTTAATTTTAAAACGTGTTTGGAGCATAAATAAATAAAAAAGTGCGGCGCTAAATGGAAAAATTTCACACATCGAAAATTCGTGGTGGGCATGGATTGGAGAGAATCATTTCGTCCTGCCCCATTGTCATTTCTACCGTCAACACAAGACGAGCCTTTCTCTCGTCACTGCGGTGATTGTCTCGATCGATTCGAATTAAGGATGTGTTTGAACCACATTATTCTAAAAGAATGTGTATTCTGAAATAATAGATTTATGGAGAATATGTGGTTGAAAAAGAA